ACAACATGAATGCTAACTGGAGTTAGGGAGAGGGTAATTCCAGGTGGTTTCTTTAGGAGTATCATCTGATAAATATACTTCAATGCTGATATAGCACAGGACTGATTAGGATAAGCAGCAGGAAATGACACCAAAAAGGCAATTTGGGGATAGATTATTACAGCCTTGAACGTCATGCTTAGAAGTTCATCATTATTCAGCAGCCACAGCAGACCACTTTTTTTTTAATATGTAGGGACCAACATTACCAGATAGTCTTCAAAAAAAAATATTAGTAGCATTCCAGAGATCAATTTGTTCAGTTAAAAAAATAATATATGACTTCTGAACTACAGCTACAAAAACTCAAAAAAGAATAGATTTGAGATGGAGAAACAGATGTATATAAGGAATGACAAGAAGTTAGAATCAAAGCTGAGACAATGATAGTTTCAGCTTAGGTTCCAGAAAGAAGTTTATGCCACATACAGGATAAGGAATATAGAGAAGTAAAACATGGTTAGGCAGAAATTGATTTAAAAAACTTAAAAGGAAAATTCAGAAGAAGTGTTCCAATTTAAAAACAAAGATAGCAATATCAAACACCATAGAGTTGACTTTGAAAGAAGACTGAGATTCAGCCAATGAGTTTAACAATTAGGAAGAACACCAGTTATCAGAGAAACTTCATTTAGTAAAAAATAAAGGAAAGAAAAAGAATGCCTGGTGAAGTCAATTTTTTCTGTATAAAAAGCTAAGCTAATAAAATTCTAAACCATCACTTCATACACACTCAAGTTCTCTTTAGATTTTATCTATCATTATTATACTGGAAACAAAAACAGGGGTTAAGGGCATATAAGCTCAATGGTAGAGTACTTGTCTAGCATGCACCAAGCCCTAGGTTCCAATCAAAAAAAAATTAAACAATAAAACATCACATTAATTAAATGATACTTTCTTGAAAAAAATCTGTATTTTCCAAAAATAATTTTGGGTGAAACTGGCACTGTTTTTTTTTTTTTTTTTTTTTGGTGGTGCTGGGGATTGAACCCAGGGCCTTTATACAGGAGAGGCAAGCACTCTACCAACTGAGCTATATCCCCAGCCTCTGACACTGTATATTTTTGCTAGTCTCTTACATCAGGATTAATACATGACATCTGGATTGTCATTTCTATTTCTGCATTCACTTTTTTTGCAATATGTCATTTTGGTTCAAGAATATGAAGAAAATCTGGACTCCCACAGATACGTAGTCAAAAAAAGGGAGAAGGTATTTAAGTAGCCTTTTCTTAAATAATTGTAAATATTCTTCTTTGATACTAAAGACAGTTTTTTCCCCCCAAAGGTTTAGTTGCAATTTGAAATCCAAAACTACACAACAAAGTTTTCATAGTATTCCCCTAAAACCCTTTGCTATTTTGTGTTTTGAAGGAATTATCTATGCATGGTTTTGAATTCTCACATATTGATTTTTAGGAAATATGGGTTCAGAGTTATGCAGCCCTTCCTAATGTTGACATATTTCATGATAAAATATCAGAAATTACATTCATTGATATTACCACTAATCAGAAAAAGTCATTAAAGTATTCAAAAGAAAAAAACAAAACAACTTAAAAAATGAAAAAATAGAGCAGGACCCAGTGGCACACATCTATAATACTAGCAACTTGGGAGACTGAGGCAGGAGGATCCCAAGTTCAAGAACAACCTGGGCAACTTAAAAAATTTTTAAAGGCTTGGAATGTGGCTCAGAGGCAGAGGACTTGCCTAGCAAGTGGGAGGCCCTGAGTTTAATCCCCAATACAGCAAAAACAGTAAATACATACAAAAATACACAGAAAGGACTCAGAGGCTCTAAAACTCACTGTTGAAGTTAAAAGCTTTCAAAAATTCTAGTTTACATTTGTCATTTTTATTATTGACAACAAATAGTATAAATTGTTCCCTTTAAGTAAAAAACTTACTGTATCCATTTTTAAGACACTAACTGCTAAATATCCAATTTTGAAAGTATACTTTTTTTCTTTTTCATGGTGCTGGGATTAAACCCAGGGTCTAGTACATGCCAGGCAAGTGCTCTACCAACTGAGCTATATATCCTAGCCTAAATATCCAATTTTGAATAACCAGTTTGTCAGATGGCCTTTCAAAAAAAAAATGATGTTCTATGAAAAAAAGCAACTTCTCAAGTGCTTTCCCTTTGCAGTCAACCCCTGCACTTTGGGATTCTATGAAAAAAAGCAACTTCTCAAGTGCTTTCCCTTTGCAGTCAACCCCTGCACTTTGGGATGCCACAAAAGTGTTTCACATGCACTTTTCATTTCATCAGAATATTTTAAAGACAAAGACTTAATAAAACTACTAACTCTTCGTTTCATAAAGGATATTCTTAAGGGAAACTGGCATTATTTTTACTACACTGGCATGGTGGTAAAGATTAGAATGAATGTGGCAATTTAGTGCCACTGCCCTGATTCATGCTAAAATGCTGTTTTCACCTACCACTGCTTTTGCACCATCACTACATGTGTGGACACAGTGAAAAAGGAAAATTATGGCCCCATGTTCTTATGAAAACAGTTTGAAATGCATAAATTAACTAAAAGGGCTTAAGGGACCCCTACAGTTCCTCATTCCACACTTCAAAAACAACTACCACAGACTTTCCAAACACTAATCACTTTCACATTTTCCTATAAACAATGAACCTGTGAGTATTCTAACCCAAGATAAAGGGAGGAGAGAAAACAAACAAGAAACCTCCCCCCACACACACACCGCAAGTAAGGAATCTCTGAAAAACAAATCAGTGGTTGCTGGAAAGGTTCCTCAGATGGGTAAGAAAGCTCAGATGGGTAAAAAAAAGATCGAGAATCAGAATTAGGTATTTCTTTAAAAAAAAAAAAAAAAAAAAGGCAGGCTTATTTAGATGGCCCTCTCTTTTTTTTTTTTTTTTTAAATCCTATTCTCACACCAAGGATTTAGGAGAATTAGTAACAAACCTCAAATTAAAAGACAGAAAACAAGTATGACAAGAAAACGGTGATAATGAAAAGATTTTCATCAGATAATAGTTTCTTTAGGGATTCTTTGAAATGTGAGCTTCACAGTTTATTTTCATTTTACAGAAGGTAAAGTAATTCTTTTCATTAATAATCAAATCCTTACCATAACACTGTGTTAAGTTGTAAACAACACTTTATAATGAAGTTGGGGCACTAACCATTGAGCCAAACCCCTATCCCTTTTTTATATTTTGTTTAGAGACAGGGTCTCACTGAGTTGCTTAAGGCCTTGCTAAATTGCTGAGGCTGGCCTTGAACTAGCAATCCTCCTGCCTCAACCTCCAGAGCTGCTGGGAGCCACCTTACCCAGCTCAAAGTGCTTCTCATTTGACAAGAAAACCGTTAAATTTTACAAAAGCAAAAAACAAAACAAAAAAAAAAAACATATTTTGTTCGTCATTGTATGTCCAATACCTAGCTCAACTCTTGTATAAGATGCTCAATAAATATTTGCTATTGTAGTAGTTCTGAGATATAAGCTTAAGTTACCAGATTTCTAGTACAAGACCTAGTGCTTTCTAAGTCATCTTTTCCGCGGCTTTCTAAAATAACACTTTTGAGAAACCTAATGGAACTATCACAGCATACCCTGAGAAAATATAACACTACCTGTTATACTTAAAAACCTGCTATAGACTAGGTTTTATTTTATAGGTTTGCATTTAGATCACAGTGCAGAACCAAAACAAACAATTCTATCATTTTAACTTCTAAATATATGTTCTGTGAAGTAAGCAATAATTTTCCATTCCTAAATGCAGACACAATAAGATACCAGTTTTAATTGTTATATATCCATTTCTACCTTCACACAGACTACACTAAATATTTCATTTTCTCTGATGATTCATAATGGCTCTTAATTTTCTACTTTCTTATGTTTATATTTGGAACACTTATTGCCTTAAAAAGAACTTCAGATTCTGAAGACTGAGCAGCACCTTTGATGATAATCTGTTGCTATAGCTTTTTCTTTTTAATATACCCTATCAGTTTGACATTTATTACTGTTTCTCACAAAAGGACAATGTAGAAAATTTCAGGACACTTAGGTTCTAGATTTAAAAGAGATTAACCAAATTTAAATAAAGGCCACCAAATACAAAATTGAAATTCAATCACAGAAATGGCATCAACTTAAAAGAATATAATTGAGAATACAATTGAGGAATTGAAACTATGTCAAATCATATTTTATTCTGACAGACATGCTACGAATGTAACCTCATTCTACAGCTTGACATGACCTCCCTAGGATATAGGCAAAGGAAATGGTCTTCTGTTGGAATGTGAAGCATTTGAACTAGGTATTCTTTAAAGAAAAATATATATATATTATGTCAGTAAAGACTTTAAAGAGAGACCATGGACTCGATCTTTTCTGAAGGTTTAAAAAGAAAAAAAAATGTTTCAAATGTCTAGGATGACTTAGACTTGGCCTCATATTTGGCAACTGAGAATTAGTTCAGAGGTCAGTCTGACCCAAAGGATTCAAATCCTGGCGGTTTGTCACATAAACAAGTCTTCAGCAAACTGCATCCTTCTGCTGTATAGCTATCCAGGCCCAGCTCTGGCTCTCCACAACCTTATCCTTGAAATCACCTCATAGCTAATGATCATGTCAGCTATGGAGAATTACTTCTTTCAACTACTGAAACTTTCGCTTCTCAATAGTGTTCGGCAGTCCTTTACTCCTGTCTTCCTAACATTACTGGGGAGGGAAGTATTTTGCAGTGTAATCAATATCTGCCTTATTAACAATGCCCTGTTCCATTGTTCTACCCAAACATGGATTCCACTCTTAATTTCAGAAACAACAGTAGGAAAGTAACAGATAACAGAGAAATGAGAGCTCTTAGGTTTAACTCAGGGCCAAAGTCAAAAGAAAAGAGACAATTCAGAGAGGAAGGAAGAAGCTTAGAGGGTGTCACAGTGCAGAACACTTACTTTTAGGAACAGAGTGTCCCTTAGACTTCTGGTGGGTTGCCCAGAGCCTCTTCAGTTTCAATCCAAATGACAATGCTTCTCTGAGTGCTCCTCAAGTAATGTTTCCACCACTAAAAATGGGATCTACAAGAGCTCAGATGTACTGGTAAAAAAATGTCAGGGGCTCCCATGTGGGCCTCAAGCCTCTTTAAAAGTAGGCTCACTTCTCTGTCCTGGGCCAACTCCCCTGTGCACTATAATCCTTCTTCTTCCAGGTGCCAGGTATTCAGCCTGTTTCTTCTCTTCTGAGCTGCCACCACCTACTCTATTTCTCAGGGTTCCTCTAACCCCAAGACTGGCTGTGGAGTAGGACAACAGCTTCCCCCCTTCCTTGCTGTCCCTGCAAATAAACATATAGGCTCTTCTAGTTTCAGTATTTTTCTAATTGCTACAAGAAAATAGAGAGGGAACAACAAAAAGCAACAATATAGTACCAGAGATTAAGATTTAAAGTTCCTGCCGCCAAAAAAGAAATTTCTTAAATGGTGCTTCTTGAGAATTTTTTAAAATACAAAGTACTATAAAGATATATGAGTATACACTTAACCAAATCCAACCTCATATGACATAATGATGCTCTTCTTTTCAAAATACTTAAAACACGGGTCCAAAAATAGCAAGTAGGTAATTTTTTTTCTTTTAGAATGTTCTCTCATTTTCCTTTGAATTTAGCAAATGTTTAAAAGTTTGCTTTTTAATAGTTATCCTGAAAAATGTTCAAAATATTTTATCCAATTCAAATGAAAATTCATCTACAAAAGTCTAAGATTTACAAAAAGACAACCATGTCAAAAGCAGGTCGTTTCACACAGAAAATCTTTAAAATTTGAGACTTCTGGTCCTATGTTTTAAAAATTTAATAAAGTGTTTAAATCATCAGGATATCTTATTTTTAGAAATCTAACTTTTACTGAATATTTATAATGTCAAAATTACAAAGACTCTCTATTTTAAAAGTAACAGTAAACTTAATGTGCTTACTGTGAGAATTTAAGATTCTAATAGACTTTGAAATATCAAAATAAGTACCTTATCTAAATGTTAAGCTATAAATCACAGGATTACAATGAATTAATTCAAAGGCCACCTTCCTCTAAAGGCCAAGAACTCTTTTAACTAAGTGCTGGCATATCAAGAACGCCTGACTTTGAATTTCCTGGATGACTTTCTTTATCCACTTAATTCATTTAAGTGGCTTTTTAAAAGACAGAGTTATAATACTATAAGCTTACAAACCATAAACTAAGACTGAAAATAGGCGGATATCATTTTATCTTGTTTTTTTAACAGGCTGCTATTTAATCAAACTAAAGATATTTGGATACTTTGCGTAAAAATGTGTTCCTGTGACTGGGTTTACCTCCAAATACTTACTTAGAAAATATTAGAGAACTGGAATAGCACACCAAACAAAACCTTGGTCTGACTCTTCCACACGTACACGTTTTTAAAAAGCGGTTTAATCTATTATGTATTCTACAATAAGATACTTTTTTATGAGGATCAAAATTAAATTACATCCTTTGCTCCTAAAGAGGATTTCAGTCTTCTTGATCCCCGCACACTAACACAACAATGCAGTCAACATTTTTATGCCCGGAGTGGGGAGGAGACATTATACCCAGCGATACGAATTAAATCGCAGGAACTAATGCCTCCCTAAATAATTTATTTTCCCTTGGCAGGAAAAAAGAAAAAAACGTTACAGCCTCTTCAATTACCCCTCGCCGCAAACCATCGCGTGGGTCGCGATCGATGTGACCCGACTCCTATCGCGGCCACCACCTCGGTCTCGCCCGCTCCCGACGGGTCTGCGAGTGTCACGGGAGGGGCCCGCAGCAGCAGGGGCGTCCGGTGCGCCGCGACCCCGGCAGCCGGCGGCCCGCGGGGCAGGCCCGGGACTCACCGGGTGGAGGTGCCCTTCCGCACATCGCACATCATGCACTTGAAGGCCTCGGCGCTGTTCCGGAAGGTGCAGACGCTACAGTCCCAGTAACCCTCATCCGAGGACGGCTTCGGCTGCCGCTTCGGCCTGCAGGACACAACCCGGACACGACGCAGCGCGGGGTCATCAGCAGGCCGCGCCCGGCGCCCGAGCCCCGGCCGCCCCCGCCCCCCGCCCCAATTCTGCGACCCCCGCCCCGCAGGTCCCCGGCGCGCAGCGCTCCGTCTCGGAGGGGGAGGGAACCAGGAAAGGGGAGGGCTGGAGCCCCGCCGCACTCGCCGCGGCAGCCACCGCTCTGACACCGGGGGCTGCCGCTAGGGCAGCTGCCGCCGCCATCGCGGCTCCATTGTGGGGCGGCCGACGCCGGCCCCTCACGCGGCAGTGCTAGCGCAGCAGCGGCGCCGCCCCCGTTCTCGCCCCGGTGCCCGGGCGGCGAGCGAAGTGGCCGCCTGGAGCCCCGCGCGAAGGCCCCGCGGCCTGCAAGTCCGGGCCCCGGGGCCCACGCGCTGTTACCTGGTGGGGCTCTTCTTGTCTCCCATCGCTCGGCTACTAACGCACGCCCAGAGTCGCCGCTGCGGCCGCTCTGTTTGTCAATACGGAGGATAATAAGCCGGGCGGAAGCGGGCGGGGGAAGAGAAGGGGGGCGGGGAAGGCCGCACCGCCGAGCTCCGGAGCCGCCGGATCCCACGCAGCCTCCAGCTGTCGGGGAAACTCCTGCCCGGCTCACGTGACCCGCGCCGGCCAACCAACGGCCGCGCCGGAGACTTCAAACGCGGCCAGCGCGGCTCAGCACCCGAGGCGAGTTAGCGGGCGAGTGGGCGGACCGTGCGGGGGTGGCCGCTGCGGCCTCGGGCGCCACAGCGCTTGCTGCCCAGTTCCCGGCTTCCCCTCGCACCCACGCTGGCCGGGTTGCGGCGTGCTCCAGCGCCCTTGTGAGGGCGAAGCGTCTGTCCCGAGAGTGATTGGGGATGCTCTGTCATCCAGCGCGAAGCTTGGTAGGAGGAGAGGCTGGCGTTTGGAGGCCATCCCAGCTCGGGACAGGAGTGCCCGCGCAGGATCTCCAGGTAGAAACGCTTCCCTGACTTCAGCCGCCTTTGGCTACTCAGGACCTGACTCAAGGACACCTGAAGGAAGGCAAAACCCACATTGAGCGCCATTGCCAAATGCTTTCAAAAGCTGTCTGCTTTTATGCCCACGAGTGTTGCATCAAGTAGGGATTGTCATCTTTAATTTAGAAGAAACAAAACCGAAGCTCAAGAGAGATTAGGTGACTTTCCCTAGGTTACGTAATTAGAAAATGACAAAGCCAAGCGCTTAACCCTGTTTTAATCCCAAAAGCGTTTTCTTCTTCTTCTTCTTTTTTTTTTTTTTTTTTTTTTTTGGCCTCACTGGTCTTTTAAAAGAAAATGAGTGTTCATAATCCTTTAAAATGAGTTTACATATGCCCTGAACGCTGTGTGTAGACAACGGAAAGAATACTTTCCTCCTGGCTCCCATTACCTCAACATGCTGGAGGCCTTCATTTTGTAGTAGACTCATAACGACCATCTAACTGGCCTCAGAAGCTCCAGTTCAGACTCCCCAATGCATTCACTAATCCACAACCAGATTAAAACTAAAATGCAGTTAACATTATGCCACCACTATAATCAAGAACTAAGGGCTCCCAAACTCCTCAGCCTGGTACTCAAAACCCTTACATGCATTTTACTTACCTTGCTATCAGACAAGCTGCCTTCTGACAAAAGACTAGATGAATCTCATCTACCTCCTTCCTGCATATGGCTTACTTCTGCATAAAACATATCCTTCTTCTGTCTGTTCCATTGCCATCAATCTCTCTGTTTTTACATCAAGTTCACATTCCTATAAAGTAATAATTGGTAGCTAAATTGAAAAGGAAATAGTACAACCAGAAGTCCCATGTTCTTAGCCTTGTTTCTTCCGTTCCCTGACAGATCTTGGAAAGTTTGCTTAATTTCTGTAATTTTTGACTTTTTCATCTATTGGGGGTGGTTGTGTGCTTACTGATAAAATAACATTTTTGGAGCACTGTGTGTCACTTTGTATATCTTACATAAATGCACATTTTAAAGGGCTTAGAGTCCTACTGAATGTTATCAAGTAGTCTAACCCTTCATTTTAAAGACAAAGAACTTAGGGCCAGGGTTAAGTGACTTTTCTTGAATGCCATAACAAAGCACTGTAGACTGGGTGGTTTAAATAACAGAAATTTATTTTCTCACAGTTCTAGAGGCTACAATCAAGGTATCAGCAGGGTTGTTTTCTTCTGAAGCCTCTCTCCCTGGCTGGGAGAGGCCCTCTGTCTTCATATGCTCTCCCTTATGTGCATGTCTGTGTCCTGATCTCTTCTTATGAAGACAACAGTCATTGGATTAGGATCACCTTAATGACCTCATTTTAATTGAATTACTTCTTTAAAGACCCTGTCTCCAAATATAGTTATATTCTGAGGTACTGAGGGCAAGGATTCAATATATGAATTTGGAGAAATTATATTACAGTCCAGCCTATAATATCAATATAAAAAGTTCAAATATCAACAAATATTTTTTAAATTAACATATCTAGCACATTCCTGTGACATTCACAATGCTCATCTGAAACCCTTAGAGCTAGATGTATTTGGTAAGTAAGACATTTGGGGATTTTCAAAAGGTAGTACAAATGCTACATCATTATCTAACACTTTGAGTGGGTTCTGAGTTTGTGCCCAATAATTGACACATTAAATATTTCAGAGAAAATGTAAATATTCACACTAAATGGGAAAATTAAAGCCCATAAGTTTCCTCACATTATTTCTACTTAGGATTTGCTGCTAAATGATTATGGGTCAGGTAAAATATAAAAATGCTTTCAATTTTCAGTGCTTTTTGAATTAAAGGATTGTGGATCTATAAGAATTTAAGGAAGAATTAAGATTTAAAAGATTAAGGTTTAAAATGTCCAAAAAATGTTCATGGTAAATAAATCCTAACGATTCAACCAGAAGTCATATAAAGCTTCTTCATGGAAATAGTCATTGCAGTTATTTTAAGAAACATTGAAAATAACCTGCATGCTCATTAGAAGGGGAATAATTACACAGTACAAGAATTATGATCTAACAAAAATTTGTATTTTAAGCAGACATTAAAAACAATATTGGTAGTCCTCAGACCTACACACACACACACACATACACACACACACAAATGAAGAATTTGTAATAAAGACAGTGCTTCTTTTGTGAAATGCAGAATGTGCATTTGAATATACAAGATAGACTAAAGTATATAAAAAGCCTAAGAAAAAATAGTAGAGGAGGATGCAAAATGCCATGACATTAAGCCTATTGAGGGCTCCTTTGAAAAATTGTACCACCGGTGACATCATCAGCAAAAATACCCCAACACTACCACAAGTCGCTGCACCAACAGATAGTTCACAATGCATACAGGTGAGCTCACAATGTGTCCAGGCAAGTTCTGCAAGCAGTTCAGTGATGGCTATTGTAGAAGCTGTAGATGGTTTTATCTTTGACTTCACCAGCACTGGGATGAAGATAGGAATTCTGGTAATAATGGCTAAAGAAAAAATTATGTAACATTCCAGAAGGCACTAAAAGAAAACAATTTTCTTAACAATTTACATTGTCTTCACCGGCACTGGGATGAAGATAGGAATTCTGGCAATAATGGCTAAAGAAAAAATTATGTAACATTACAGAAGGCACTAAAAGAAAACAATTTTCTTAACAATTTACATTATCTTTAAGAGAATTATTAAATATAATGAAAAGGAAAGGTGAAAGTAAACAAACAGATCTGTTAACCTTCTTTTTGTTTACATATTAAAACAATCCTCAACAGTTGTTTACCCAATTTAAATTAAACCATATAAATCACGTGAAAAAAAAAATATTTGGATCCATTTTATCATGAGCGCTCATCATATATGATATATGGACATACGTACATTCAAACATATAACACAAAACACAAGTGTGCACACATAATATAATACATACAACACATAACATTATAGTAAAGGCCTTATAACTTTTTACAGGTGAAATCTCCATTGCAATGTTTAAAAACTCTATAGTCAAAAAATAGAACTGATCAGCAAAACATTAACCTAGGTCTGTATGAGCTCAAAAAACAAAATAGAACTTCATGATATGGCAAAGGGCAATAATAAAATAGATATTGAAAAAAGCATCCTGGTTCTGTTGCAGATGTAAGAATAGCCAAACTGGAGTTTTGGATATCAGTTGTTATGGATTTGAGCCAAATCATCTTCTTTTTGGTCTGTAGAAATCGCTTTAGTTAATCTTTCTGGAATCCAAATCGGCTGCTGTTCTCCCTGTGGAAACACATAAACAGACCCCCGACTCCAGACAATCACTGGGTCAGGACCTTGGTTAATCTCTCTGGAATCCAAATCGGCTGCTGTTCTCCCTGTGGAAACACACAAACAGACCCCCGACTCCAGACAATTACTGGGTCAGGACCTTTCCATTGTCCTGTTAGAATATCCTTCCAAAGTACCTTGGGCTTATGTACATTTTTTGGACACATATGCCTTTCCGCAGCACTAAGTCCTGATGAATCCAAATTTTAAAAGTTTAGAGTAAAAAGGGTTATTTTAAGTTTATCTTTGGGGAATATATACCCCATCCCAATTCCTTCTTTTTGCTTTAATAAGTACATTTTAATAGTTTGATGAGCTCTTTCAACTATGCCTTGTCCCTGTGGATTGTATGGGATTCCTGTTATATGAGTAATGCCAAATGTTGAGCAAAATTGTTTAAAAGAGGTAGAAGTATAACCAGGGGCATTATCTGTTTTTAACTGTTTTGGAACACCCACAGTGGCAAAATTTTGTAAGCAATGAGCTATAATATCTTTAGTTTTTTCTCCGGCATGAAGGAAGCCCATCAAAAATCCAGAAGAAGTATCAACTGTAACATGCAAATATTTTAATTTTCCAAATTCTGGCAAGTGTGTGACGTCCATCTGCCAAATATGGTTAGGTATCAATCCTCTAGGATTGACTCCAAGATTAACTTGTGGTAAAAAGGTCACACAATTTTGACATTGTTTTATTATTTGTCTAGCTTGTTCCTTAGTTATTTTAAAACGCTTTTGTAAAGTATTAGCATTGACATGGAACTTTTTATGAAAATTTATAGCTTCTTCTAGTGTAGAGAAAATATGTATGTCATGTGTAGTTTTATCTGCTAAATCATTGCCCAAACTAAGGGCTCCAGGCAATCCTGTATGTGCCCTGATATGTCCTATAAAGAATGGATCTTTTCTGTCCCAGATTAGACTTTGTATAGTGGAAAGCAAAGAGAAAACAGTAGAAGAAGGGGAAATCCTACCAGCATCTTCAAGAGATACTATAGCATTAACTACATACTGACTATCAGAAAATAAATTAAATACAGAATCTTTAAACATCACAAAACCTTGTAAAACTGCATTAAGCTCTACCTTTTGAGCTGATTGTTTGGGTACTAAAAATGTAAAAGTTTGATCAGGGGTAACTACTGCTGCTGTACCATTATTAGACCCATCAGTGAATATATTTGGAGCATTCATGATAGGTGTTTTTCTTGTCATTTTTGGAAAATTTACAGGATGCAATGACCAAAAGGACAATAAAGGATTGGATGGTAAGTGGTTATCAAATGAAACATTAGATTTGCACATGA